TCACTCGACGCAGAATGAAATGACATATAGTTCAATAGGGTTTAAAAGAAAAATTTCAGGTTTTTTCCGAGGTGCGCTGACCGTTTTTGACAAGAGGCCCCCGAGTGTTTTCCATAATTTCCCCAAAAATTCGACGACGATTCAGGGTAGTACTCTGGGCCTACTTCACGAAACCGTAGAGAGTCCTTCAAACGGACCATCTTCGGTTGCAAAAACCTGTTTGCAAAACGGTCGATGACGTTTTGTCTATGTGTAAAGAATAAACTATTTCTTGAGACCGCTTATCTCAAACAAGTTCAAATTTTTATCATAGATAGTACTCATACCAAGACAGCTCTGGTAGAAATTTAAGCTCATTAGCATTTGATTTGACGGTTTTATTGCGTACGCAAAATTTTCGACCGGAAAATCGCTTTTTTTCCGTATTTTACGACCTTTTTTGCAAACGCTCTAGCGTCGAGGTAAAGCACTTTGGATAAAAATATCAAGAGACAAAAATGTTCAGGACACATTTCTCTATCTGCTCTGAACATTTGACAAACATTTGTTAAAGTTCATTAAGTACGCTATGCTGACAAAGTACGTTTCTGTCGTGCACTGCCTCTTAAGTTATACTGTTGATAACAAAATTCTATTGGATTTAGCCTATCAATACATCACCGATGATCTCCTACACAAGAAATGTACGTGTTTCATCGTCTCAACTAAACATTATAATAAAATAATAATCAAATTTATCACAAAGTTTTGTATGTCTTTTGTCTTCTAATATTCGTTCAAGTAACAGACTTAGTAGTTACTAAAAATATATATTTAACATCTAGAACACGTAAGGAGATTATCTTCAAGCGACTTATTCTGTAGCTAAAGTTGTTATTGAAATAAAGCAGAAAAAAGAACCAAATGTACGCGTATCATAGAAAGATATTGTTACACTTTAACATCAGTTGTATTCTCAAAAACTGAGACTGATACTAAAACAACATTCGATACTATGGTTTTACAAGGTATACGAAATGTAGTACCAGCTGAAAAAGTATGTCACGTCCCTTTATCTTTCTTGTTTAAAACTTCCAGGCAGTTTTTTCTTCTTAGAATAAGAATAGTCGTATTAAAAAATGCAATACTGTCAATAAACGTGGCATTACATTTAATGTTCGAAATTTGATAAAAGTTGATCCAGATTTTAGTAGAAAAAAATTAGTCAACAAATTCGTTCAAGATGTGCAATATATATTACTTTTATTAGGTGATCAATATTCAAAGTCAAATATCGAAAAAGAAACTACCGAACAATTACATTTTTTAAAAGGTGAGTGTGAAAAAACTGTCAGTAGAACATATGAAGAAAAAACTTTGTTGAAAACATATAATATTATTAGTATCAGATGTCGAAAAAAATTTAAATGTCGATGGAAATACAACGATTGGTTAAATCCCAACTTTGAACATACATTTCAAGTTGACGATAACACGAGCCAGGATGACTAAGAAAATATAGAAAATATAACTGACACATCTGGCAATGATCAATTAACACTAGAGTTCGAAAAGCATGTCAACTATATGGCTATTTCAATGTCTCGTAAATTAATTTCGTATGTTCATAGATCATAACAACATGAATAGTGAACAATCAAGAGGTGGTCGATGTTATTATCAATTATTTGAATGAAGAAAGTTTGAAAAATGATGTCGATCAAGCGGTATTAGAACGCTCTTTGAAATGGGCTCTTCGTACAGTATACGCAACGCAAATTAAAACTCGTTATGCGCGACAAGAAAATATGTTGCATGAAATTTATTTTACAATTCCACGTAAATCATCTGCAAATATTCCACAAATAGTATCAGCAAGAAAATCTCAAATACTACAACGATCAGTTCATTCAGCGACGGCAATATTCTTTTTGTCTCATCTAATCTCATACCACTGTGATTATCACAAGTTGGATAGTTATTATTCAAGAAGTTTCTATCACTGATGGTTAAAGTAGTAGTCTTAATAGATCATTTGATGAACTTCAGAATAGAGCTTAGAATTCTTAAACTCTTGTAGCTGATCAAACACTGATCACTCACCTTGAGGTTCTCACCCGAAATGGAAAGTCATCGAATGACAAGTGCCTAGATGGCTTCGCGATGCTGAATCTGAAAATCGCACCGGTGAGATCGAAAAACGAAAAGATCAGGAGATAATCGGGATTTTTCTGAAAAATCGGTTTTTCGAGGTTTTCGACGCCCTCACAGTATTTTGAGGTTTTCTGCATGAAAACACGGTCAGATGGAAGAAATAAGATCAGATTCGGGATCAGCAGCGTCCGGCAAATCAGAGTATGTGTTTGAAATTTCAAAAGCTTTTCCACTTGATTTTTGAATTAGCGGCGCCTTATATACAACTTTGGATCCTAGTTTAGATTCCATTTTAGCTAAAGCAACACGCATAGCGAAAAGTACTGATATAGGAAGACAAAATTTATCAAGAGAGGGCATGATATATGGGATACCTTGTGGATCTGGGGATATCTATGTTGGAGAAATATGTTCATATGAACGACGTATATCTGAGCATAACCATAAAGTCAAATACAGAAATCTAGAAGGTTCTGAATTAGTTCAACGTTCGGAGAATAGTACCGAATGCTTAGTTAATTTTGAACATAGTGTTATTTTTGGTAAAGAAAAACTTTGGCGTAGGAGGAAAAAGTTAGAAACAGTGTACACAATAGTTAATAATGGGTATAATGGATGTAGGAGCATAAGTCCACAATGGAAATTAGCTATTAGTTGATGTATAGAACCGAGCGGGAAAGAATTTTACATAACTGATACCGAAGTAAAAGAACAGGTTAGAAATAAGGATATAGTAGAGAAGCCGATAGAGATGAGAACAGAAAACTCGAGATATATTTTAAGAAAACAACGGAGAGTAAGGTACAAGTGACAGAACAGAGGTTTCAAACGTTGACTTTTCAAAGGGTTTTCATCGGTCCTTTTATTAACGTTATTTTATCGTATGTGTATTTTAAGTTCTGACATCAGTTGCCTGCATGGTTAAGAGGGAAAAAAGAGAAAAGGTCGTGTTGACATACATATACAAATTCTCCTCACTTGGTGACTTGTCCACCTAACACGACGCTTCGCTGATCAAGTTTTTTTTGAATTTTTTTCGTCGGAAAATCGATAGAGGCCCATCACTAGACACAGCTTTTCATGCTGATCACGAATCTGACTTTTCTTTCAAGAAAAAATTAAGTTTCAATATAAAAGTTTTAATTTAAAATTTAATTTTTAAAAACTTCAATTTTCTGAGCTAGACATTTTATACAAAAAATTTAAAAAAAACATACCATTGAATAGAGAATTCAATTCTCTACAAAATGGCTCATTTTGTTTTGAGATCTATTTTTCGTGGTTGTTTGAACGTTTCAACTTCCGCCTTGGTCTGAAAGCCTCAGAGAATTTTCTGAACTTCTTTTGAATTGGAGTCTTTTCAGGAAACCTAGAACTACACAGACTATAAGTATGAAGTTTTTTTAACAACACTTAGTGCCTAAAAATGCTACGACAAAAAAGTGTGTCACTGTCACAGGGTTACTTTATAAGATCGATTTTCAAGCGTGCTGAAGGGTTTCGAAAAAAGTCCTATTTACCAAAAGAAAGTCCGTTAGCTCCTCTACGAACTTGTCTCCGGAAACTTTTCAGATACAGTGCTCAATTCGCAGAAAATCAGAGCTGTATCTGGAGTTCTCAAAAAATAGGGGCCTTTTCTGTTACAGCGTTACTCGCCGAAACATCTTTCTGAAAGCTCGAGTCTTGAATCGAAAATCTTCATTTTTATATCTTAATTAGAGTTTGGTGAGCTGCGTCGAATGGCGCTAGAACGAACTTTCTAGCTCCTACAATTTTCGAGAAAAATGCAAATTACTGCAATGCCACAGCATTACCTTTGGACAAGCCGTTGATCTATTTTTTGCCTTTCTTTGTAGACCAGTCCTTTTGAATTACGTAATCTTATACTAAGTAAGAATTGTCTAGGCAGGGGATCAAGTGAAAAGGAAAGAATAAATAGGATATAAATGTAGTGTGTTAAAGATACTTGTCAGGCTACAATTTTTTATTATCGACCGTATATATTATAAAAATAAAAAAGGGGGAAGAACATCCGGTAATAAAAGTTTAGTACGAAGAAAAAGTACTTCTTCAGAATTTAAAAAGATCTCATCTAGCTTAAGATGAGACAATTGTCAAAATACTCGACAGATATCATGTTTTTCACCTATCTTAAGGCTTTAAAGGAACATTTCTTCTACATCTGCTCAGAATCAGAATATTTTATATACACCAAAACATGCGTAATTAAACGGGCTTTAAAATGATGATATATGAGGCAGTGCACGATAGAAACGCACTTTTCCAGCATAGCGTGCTCAATGCACTGTCACAGATTTTTCTCAAATTATCAGAGCAGATAGAGAAATGTGTCCTGAACATTTTTGTCTCTTGACATTTTTTCCAAAATGCTTTCCCTTGCTTGGGGAAAACGTCCAAAGCTTCCGAACCAAGCAAAGTGAAACTTTTGTTTAGATCTTATTTTGTAGATGACACTTTAGACTATCTATATATGGGAAAAAACTGATAGGCTGCTATGTAAAATTGTTGACTTAGAAACGGATTTTCCAGAGATCATCAGAAAAAATCATTTTTGAAAATTTGTTCAAAAAACGTTTTTGCTTATGAAAATGTAGACTAAACTGTCTTCTTTCGATTACCGAAAACCCGAGGTCTCTGGCTTTTATCGTATTTGAGTTACTCTAGAAACAACTACCGGTCTTATATTTTGAGTTGGATAGTAGTATTTCTTAAAAGCCATGCCACTGATTGTGGTTCACGAAGCACGATGCAGAAAAACTTTTGCTAACAAAAGTCTTCCTGAGATGCCAGATGGGGCAGTGCGTGTAATACTTTTTTCAGTGAACGGAAAATTTGAGAAAAATCAAATTTAAGAATCTAAAATTATTAAAAAGCTTAATACTCAATTTGTCTCAAAATTTTCCGTTACACCGAAAATAGTATTAAACTTAATACCTCATTTGGCACGTACGGAAGACTTTTGTCAGTAAAAGTTTTTCTCCATCGTGCTTCGTTGAGCCACAATCAGTGACAAGGCTCTTAAAAATTCTCCTTGGTCGATCGGAGCCAGTCTTATGATTAGAACACCCTTCTTTAATGAACAGTGAACTTTTTAGAAAAACCTCTTGAATTTCTGTAAACTTTAAAAAGTTAAAAATAAATGGGAAGAACGTGTCTGGGAGGTTCAAACGTCTCACCATATATGTGAATCGACATGTGCAACAAAGTGATGTAAAAAACCAGGGGGATCAGTCCTCCCCCCCCAATTTGAAGAAAGATTTGACCAGCTGAAAGAATTTCCTATCTGATGTGCTGTATACAGAAATTCTATCAAAACTGCTGAAACCCGGATCTCTGGCAAACCAAGATCTCAGAAAAACATGTCCTCTAGTTCAATCTAGAAATTCTTTGCAAATAACTGCATCGTGTAGAACAAACATTTCTGAAGAAAATGAGATGTTTCCGAGCTCTTTACGGCATTTTTTCCTGAAAACAGCATTCAAGTTACAGAAGACCCTAGGGTCGTATCTTTCTTCGTTTCCCGTTACTTGTGCTGGTATTCAAAAATGTTAGTGTGCAATCTAAAAAGTTCAGGCTAACAAGATCCTATGAAAATGTGCCAGTTTGTGCTAAAATAACGTTTGACATGTGATGTCATCGAGGTTGTTTTCAACCTACGTGTGTGTTCTTCAACTCAAATTAGTACTGTTGAGGTAGCACTTTTCCCGATAGTCATTCAATGCAAAAACTATTTCGATCCAATTCGAATGGTCATATGAGAAAAACTCAATATGTTTTCAGAAAAAATTCTCAGCGATAGAGATGGCACTGAAGTTTCACGGACAAAACGAGATGTTAGACCAAAACCATCACCTTTAAGACATAGATTTTCTCATCCCAATAGCTTTATAACCGAAAAGTGATTTATACATCAAAATCTTTACTTCGTTGTCTGTCAAATGGTAAAGCGATATCTACGACTCCACTTTTAACGGTTTCAAAAATATCAGTAAGAGGGCGAGTACATTACTTCTACTATTGTTCTACTTTACACCCCATACGTTTTTTATTATCTTAAGCAGAATGAGTAATGTGTTGGCAAATCAGACTAAAATCTATAAGAATAAAAATATTCTTCTACATTTTTATCAAAACGCAAGGGAAAGTTATGCACATAAGTCGCTAATAGTGTTGCGTCTCACACAACTTTTTGTATTTTTCATCAACGTGCGTAAGCATTTGAAATATGATGCATTATTTACCTTTCTTTAAAAGAAAAAATTATTATGCCAGAAGTTATGAATCGTGAATCAAAATCTGAAGATGGAAAATTCCAAATCTCTGTCGATAATTCACTT